CCCGATGCATGCTTATTCGCGGATCTTTGTTAATTAAAATCTCAGTAACTATTGCGAATCTAGCAAAATGGTATAGGACTTTTCACCTCAGTTTTATTCCTTCTACCTGCCTACGAGAGATGTTAAACCAATTCTGGGACACCCTGTATATACACACACACATATACTCCAATAGGCAAATTGTGAAAATATTGCACAAAAATGGCATAACGCAACAGTTTTGTTAAAATAAAATTTTGTAAATAATATTTGTCAAAAATGAGAAAAGAGTCGTTATGCATTTTCCATAAGTATATACATGAATTAATTTGATTTTATCATATGCAATCATATTTCTACATGTTTTAAACATCACATAGGGTGAAAGACTCAATTACTGTCACCCTGAGCTATTTTATTTAAAATATTAAATAAATCCTAAAAAGGTATGTATGAAAAAAATTTAACATAGAATTTTAAGTGCAATTAATATAATAAAAAATCCAGCACTTAACATTCTTGTCTCATTTCTTTTATTTTAGGGGTGACAGTAATAGAGCTCTCGCATCGTTCTTTTTTAATTATTAAATTTATAAATAAAAATAGAGATTTTGAGAGACGTATTATTTTTTTCTTATATTAGAGACATTGAATAATACCAGATAAGAAGAAAAACACATGTTTTTGATAAATAAATAGTAAAAACAATTCACTAACGCCAGGGTTTATCATTCAGGTGATACTAATTAAGTCTTTTACCCTAGCTGAAATTTTTTCTCAATTATTGAACAATTTCTTTTTTTAATTTAATTTTGCAAACATACTGCTAAGATGATTTGCCATATCGTTATTGTTTTGCCAAAATAATGTTTGGAAATTAATTTTGCAAACAGTTACAAATATTTTATAAAAGATCAATATTTTTTTTACAAATATTTTATAAAAGATCAATATTTTTTTTACAAATATTTTATAAAAGATCAATATTTTTTATCTATTTCTCAAAATATATTTACATAATTGCAAATCATAATTTTCATGCAAGATTTTGTCACATAATTTCATAAATGTTTTCCTATTGGAATATATAATATGTATAATTATACAAGGTGTCTCATTTTAACTTTTGCATCGAAATATCTCTAAAAGTATAAAAGATATGGAAAAATGTTTCAAACAAAAGTTTTATACATAACATAAAAGTACCATTGATTTGATCTTTTCAAAACACTATAATAAAATAATTTTTCAGTAAGTACTTAGCAAAGTAAAGAATATCCAATAAAAAGTGAGGAGTTTCATTTAAAAACTTCAAATTAACTTTGCCTCGACCTTGATAACGCCCAAGGTAACATCAATGGTACCATCTTATGTCGCCCTCGAAGTCATAAAACTTTTGTCTGAAATAATTTTTCGTATCTCTTATACTTTTCGAGATATTTTGATGTAAAAGTTAAAACACCTTATATATTATATATTCAATTCGATTTATAATTTATTTTTGCTCCCGAAAGTTTTGTTACATTTTCAAGCGACGCGGGGAAGATCTACTTTACGCATTTTTTTTACAGATCTTCGTTTGCGGTTTTTGACGTTACTCGCCGCGGTGGTTGCCGGTGTTTGCAGTCTGGTCACCGCCCGTCAATTCGGCGCCGGTGTGTTAGAGGACAGTTTCGCGTCCCGACTCTCCACTTATTACCGCACGTCCGCGCAATTCATGGCTCTTTACGGACTCCTCAATTTCTATTTGTACACCATGGCGTACGTTTATGCGCCTGCGTTGCAACAGGTTTACGGACAACGTGAGTAAATCGAACGCAAATTTATGTGTTGCGACGATATTATCGAGCATTTTCTCTTATTGCAGACTCGTCGATAACGAAAGACAATCCCTCGTTCTCGATGTTCAACGATTCGGAGGAAGAGGTGATATATGGATCGGATGAGGACAGTCGGCGACCATTGACTCGCGCTCCGCGAAATGCGGAGGACAGCGACTAAGGGCCTTAAAACGAAGACTTGTCGTATAATATTCTGTGTTAATTAATCGGAGAATAGATTCGTCAAACGAAGAAATCAACAATGAAAAACGATTTTGATTTGCTCATCAGTCATGTTTGCGCTCCTGAGTAATTGCAGTTATACTGCCGTATAATAAAAAAAAAAAAATTACAAAAAAGGGGCAAACTAAAATCACACAAAGTTTGTTGAAAAATAAAATGTTGATTATAAATGAGAATTCTGTCAGGTGTAATTAAAAAAAAAAAAAAAAAAAAAAAAACTGCATATAACACACGTAGGTTGCTCTGAAAGTTTTCGCAAAATGGCATTAGGCGTCGTGTCACATCAAAATTGATAGGTGTTATTTAATTTCACATGTTTAAATAGAACTTTTGACATATCAAAACATTCATTCAGTCGTGAGACGTGTTCAAAGACGCTCTTGATGCTTCCGAAAAAACAATTGAATTTATTATGAGAAAATTTTCGTGCAATGGTTTTTTACGACTTTAAGAAGTCGCTACAGAATAATAGACAAGATGCTTCAACGATTTCATCGCGAATAAAATAGTACGTTTATAATACCCTTCTTGGCCAAATGGCTGAAGTATAAAATAAATTTAAAAAAATAGTACGTTTATAATAAAAAAAAAAAAAGAATTTTTTTAAACAATAAATTAATTTCAAAAATTCATTAAATGTTTTTATACGAGTGAGAAATTTTATTATGAGGAAACTTTCGGAGCAACCTACATATAATATACATAAAGTTGTACATAAAATATAAATATACACATAATGATGTGAATTTGTGTATTGCATGTAGAAATAATTGATGAAAAGTATTGATGAAAAGAGAACAATGAAAAATGACAAAAATAGGAACAAAAAAAAAATAGAATAAGAAATTTGAAAATTTTATTAATTAATTGATATATACTTCTGAGAGAAACGATTGTAAATTATTAATATTTATAAAATACTCAGTTGTTTTAATTTATCTGTACATTTTTACAACGTATAATTAAGTGCAGCAAAAACTTTTGCTGCCAAAGATGAGAAGTATTCTTAACTTGCAGTTCGATATTGTTGTTTTTTTTTTTTTTATATACATATCGTAGAAGAAAGTATAGTTGATATGTTTGCTATTTATGACGATACCTCTTCGATGTCGATTTTAAATATACTATTCGCGATCAAATCTGCGAATCGATATAAAAAAAAGAGAGAGAGAGAGATCGATAAGAGTCCAAATGTTATGTTGATTATTCGTAAGATATTATAGTTTTTATACGAAATGTATTTAACTATTTGGTATATGGCAAGTTTAATACAAACAATATAGATGTATAGCATATACCTAACATTACTCAATAAATGTTATTAATTCTTAAAAAAATATGCGCGTATATTTACAAAAATTAATATAAAAATGCGTGTTTTATACTTGAAAGAGATCTGCTACACATCTGAATCACGTTTGTCTAAGAAAAGATAGTGATCATTTTTTGTAAAAAAAACAAATTGCTCGCGCTCGATCTATCGGACTCACAGAAACAAATTTTACAAAACTGCAATTCGTAAAAATTGCTTATCAATTGTCAAAACGTATCGTTCTATTATTATACAACGATGACATATATATATACACACACACACACACACACAAACTTAAAAATTTATCATGTACGAAGAGATGTTGAAAAAAATGTAATACCTTGCGTTACAATAATAGCTATTTCTTATCACTGTTTACATGTTACATGCTATGAATGCTTGTTACATTACCTAAATAAAGAAATCATATGCAAACGTTTCTGTACTGTTTCTTTTTTGTCATCTTCCTTGAAAAATGTCCGATATAATTGCAATTGATTGCTCATATATATAATATGTACAAAATGTTGTCTATCTTTTTTTTTTTCTTAAGAGGAGATAGGAATGAAGTACACAGGAAATTGCCATTCAATGTATGGTTTTATATCATAATGTTATTACAGAAATGGTATTTCATAATAATTAAAAGTAATAGTAGTTTTTATTGGTGATCACTCACACGGGATGTGCCGACGGATTGACCTTATCGCGACGCCATCGCTTCTCTGGATATCGGCGTTCACGTCAATCGAGACGCGCACATTTTTTATTTTCTTTTTTTTTTTTTTTGTTCAATTACATATTTTTTTGCATCAAATCTTCCCTTTTTCTTTATTATCATTATTTTATCATCATACATAATGGAAAAAAATGTTACATTTGTACAGCCATCATATACATGTTACATTTAGAATACCGTTAATCCACTTTTTTGTCTCGTTAAATGTGTGTACAGAGAGAGTGTGTCATGTGTGTTCTTTCTTTTCTCTCGGTGTCTTTGTGTTTGTGTATGTGTGTGTGTATCTTGGCGGTGGATATGCCTACTTAATGAGAGTGAAACGCTATTTAGTCTCAACACAAACTACCAGCACGGCTCTCTGCATCGTACATGATCGATCACTAGGAGGTGCGTTCGTTTTATTACCGATAAATCCTTTGTCGCGCGGAATTCGGAAATTGTACTTTTGTTTACGTTAGATTTTTCTTGCGTTACATTGTGTTGATAAATTAATAACGAGAGAAAGAGAAATATATATATATATATGTATATATATGTATATATTTATACACAGTTAAATATATCAAATTTCACACGTACGCGTGTGTGTTTTTACTCAACATACATTTAGACTACACTTTCGGCCTCCTAATAACAATGTAGATCGCCCTACGTGCAATTTGTATTAAAATCTAGAGTGTGGCGCGTAAAGAGAGAGAGAGATGACAATAAATAAGATCTAAAAGTAGATAGGTATTTTCCGCTGCGTACAAAAAAAAAAAAAAAAAGACAAAACTCAAGCAATACGAAAGCAATACATGTATGCAATTATCCGTAAACGATTAATCAATACAATAATCACTGCATCTACTTAGTCGTAAAATACGTAGCCGTTTGCGATATATATACGAGAACAAATATTATTTTATCACTATACTCAAGTGTATGTATAACCTTCCTTATTAATTGATTATTTGTAACTTCAATTACTTCATTAGTTGCAACGCGCGGCAAACCGCTAAGACGCGATACTAAGAGATAATAACCTGATAGATCTCTAGTCCTCAGTGTGTATATGTGTGTGTGTTACGTGTGTACGTGTGTGTACAAAATGCAGTTACATTGTTGCGACTTTTCTTTATCATAAAGATTGGGAAAAAAGAATCGAATTGCGTCAAATCAAAAGTCAAAATAAAATAAACAACGCTTTTTTACTTGCGTAGAAAAGAAAAAAGTGTAGAGTAATCGTTTCCGATACAAATAAGCAAATCAGTAAACGGATTAAGTTCGAACGCATATAGTAAGACGATACATCCAGACGACGAAGTCAGACACATAAACGTTAAAAAAAAAAAAAAAAAAAAAAAAAAAGGAGAGAACAAACAAAATCTCAAGATAAATCAAATTGCAAGTCGAACAGAGAAAAAGAAACAAAAACAAAAAAAATCAAAACTGGAACAAAAATTGTCCACAAAAATCATAATCGATGAAGTATCTACTTTTAGCATTGTTCAAATAATATATAAATTTCTTGTAACATGATATTTGAAAATTTATGAAACATAACAGCCTTTTATTCATCGGATATTTTTACACATAAAAAAAACCCCGACTTTTTGTAAATTTGTGATCGTGTAAGTGGTTTTTGTCTTGTGTGTTTCGTGGAATGGCGGGTTAACGAAGACTTCATCCACGCTATTTTTAATTGTATTTATAAGATTGCCTCCGAAAAATGCTCTCTCGTTATTTCGTATTCTTTTTTTTTTTTTTTTTTTATCGTTAAAATGATACAATGACGTTTCTTTATCTACTTGCACTGTTCTGCCTGTTTGTAAAAAACATTGTCGAAAATGATCCTTTTTTTTTTCTTCAATGGCTATTTCATCGTCTCTACGTTCTATACACTAATATACAAGTTATGTGATTTGCCTTTTTTTTTTTTTAAATCCGTATGCCTGTCCGTTTCACACGTTTATCTAAATCTGCTAATTGGAATACACTTCTCGCAGCTGTTTTCTTCATTTTTTTTTTTTTCCCTCTTTATTTCCCTCTATCGTGTGTCTCAGACGGCATCACTGGCCCGTATATCGCCGACGGTACTCTGGCGAAACAAATCTTTCGCCAAGATTGTACGATTTATCACATTATGTAATCGAATTTGATTGTTTGATAATCGACCGACACTGTTATCATCAATAATTTCTATTATTGATATTAGGAATTTTTTTTTTTCGAAATTTTCGCAACTCATTTATTTTCGACATACAATAAATTTTTCGCAGACGTTCTTCGCACTATAAGAGCCAGCGATGGATACGAACAGTGTTACGCATATATATATATATGACATATATCAGACAAATATAATATATATATACGAGATATTTATATATATATATTTAATATATACGTTTTAGTGTATATATACGAAATATATATATACTTATAGTTAGCCCTGCGATTCCGTATTTGTTGTGTGTGTGTTATTCGCGTGTGTAAAAGCGAATGTTCAGGTGAAGAGGAAAGAAAAAGAAGAGCGTGAATATGAAATGGATGAGAATAGCGCGCTACTGTACATCAGTCTTAATATCAGGGCGCACCATTCCCGCTGATGTTCTCTTGCTTTTATCTCTTTGCGATTTTTGAGTACTGTCGGTCTCAAGATAAAACTCTGACTGTGTGTGTGTGTGTGTGTGTGTGTGTGAACGCTTTTATAAAAATTATCGAAATATTTTTTTCAATAATTAAAATTATTAACAAGAAGAAGTATTGATTTCAAAGAGGATCTTCAGAAAATTGCAATAAATAACAACAAATGTTATTTCGCGCACATGAACAGAAAAAAATATAATATCCAAGTATATCAATCAATTTCTATTCGCGAAAATGTTGTGTTTTAAGAATCAGCAAATTTTTTCCCAAGATTGACAGTATTCGCGAAAAGGCTCCGAGGCCTTTTGTTCTAGCAAACAACTGTTCATATACCGGCGCCGTGGCAGTTGAATCCAGTGGGTGTGAGATGAACATGGGCAATCGATACAAATGTCAACATGTCATTTTGTTTTTTCCCGACTGTCTTAAAATTGCACAATCGCCATTCGCAAGTATGCGCATAGTGATATATTGCGTGTGTTTTTGTATATATGTTGGTATACGTATGCGTGAGAATACATATTGTGTGTGTCGGTGTGTCGCGCGCACGCATGAATATAAATGAATGTGACGAGTGTGTGGGTGTGCGTAATGCAGTCGTATGTGTGTTTTGTCTGTATATGTCTGCAAAGTGGGAGGTCGCAGATCCTTCATATATATATGGTACAATTAGCGTGTAGTATTAAAATCATATACAATTGTTACAATATTTAAATAGTATACTTATTACATATACATATCATATATAAGGCTTAGATATACATATACAGATATATATATGTATGCATATATTTATATATATGTATAATCAATATTTATAGGGCTGCTTAATCTGTTGCTGTCTTAATGCTTTTTAATGTCCCGGTGAGGAAAACAAAAAAAAACAAAAAAAAAAAAAAAAAAAAAAAAAAAAAAAAAAAAAAAAACGGGTGCGGTTTTTCAAGTTGTTTTTGCAACTTGATTATTATACGAAGGATTAGACGTCAGAGTGACAGAAAACAAAAAATCGACAATCGAAAGAGGAGAAAAGAAAAAAAACCAGTGGAAAGGGACGATCGAACAACTTGCAATACAAATGGTGGAAAAAAAAAAACCGAAATATATAATGGAAATCTGTCAACACTGTATGTTCAATGAATATCGCTATATACGAGTTCAATGATCAATCAATCTAGGCGTTCACACGTAATGTTCTCTTTTTTCACTCTTCTCAATTTGTTTATGCACAAAGCCGCGTTTAGATTGCGCGGGCGCAACATTATTGATAACAACATCATTGACAATACATGCTGTCACACTTTTTGACTCATGTTAACTCACGAACTGTTCCCGCTTTATGTTGTCAACAACAATGTCGCGCCCGTTCACAAACGTATACAATAAATATATGATAACATTGAAGCTTAGGGATGTATTTAGAGTTCCTAATGATAAATAAATAAGAGAGTGAAGAAGTAGGCATAAATATGAAAGCCGATACTATCTAAAGTGCAAAATCACACACTGGATACATGGTCTAAACTCTACTAAAATATCTTTCTTACATTAAAAAAAAAAATTTGATTTTTTAAAATATGACTTCAATATAATTCATGTTGTATATATGACATTTAAATATCAATAAAAAGGAAATAAATACGTTTCGTGTATATAGCGATATTTCATTTACACATAAAATTTTTCTCTTCTTATATTTAGTATATTAAAATTTTCGGACATGTACTGTAGTAAAGTAAGTCGCTTTTTAAATATATGTTTGCTAAAGGTTTAACGTAGTAACGCAACAAAAGCATATTATAGCAAAAATATTACAAAATTTACAATACAAAATTGCGCAAAATTAAGTTAATCATTTCGCTCTTTATTTTTCTTTCGTAGGCGAAAGTTTGTCGAATTTTATACGGCTTACATAATCGCGATATTCAAGACTGCGTTATTAAAAACAATATCCAATAATTTGAAAGTTTTCCTGCCTGTGTATTTTATATATATATACATATATATATATATATATATATATATATGTATATATATAAAAGGAAAACGAAATTTACGCTAAATTAAATTTCTACACAGAACTCAGTCTCAACGCAATTTTGTAAATCCGATCTCAGAAGTAATTAATTGAAGTAATGACTGACAAAACGTACAATAAAGCGAATAAAGATCGAATAGAGATCGTGTGTTTTCACCGGTCACCGTTCTTTTCCTATCTTTCTTTCTTTCCTTACACACAATAATCGCCTTTACTCGTAAGAGCAGCGTCTCATCAGAGAGATATCGCATTTTCGCGCTATATAAAAAATTTACACTATTTATAATTAAAAGTCGATAAGAAGTTCTTTTCCTTTTTTCCTTCTGATACAATAGGGAGAGCTTAAGTAGATATAATGACGACACAGCGCTAGGTAGTGTGATTTCTATTCCTAAACGTTTATACCAAAAATTCTCGAGAGGTACAGATTTTTTTTTTTTTTTTTACCGTTAAAAACAGAAGGAGAGGAAGAAAAACTCGTGTGACAATAGGAAAGATTAATGAGAAATGTACTTTGAAATACGCTAAATCGTATTTATAAATGTATTACATAAATGTATATCATCCATCTTACATGCGTATATGTATATATGTATATGTATATATGTATATATGCATGCGCACATGTGCATATATGTATATACTTGCGAGAATGAATATACGCATATACATATATTTACATATGCTTAGCACAATTAGTAATAGCGAAAATGAGTAATCAAATAGAGGAAAAGGGGAGTCGTTAACCAAATAATATTCGATAGTAATGTGTATATAATAGCAATAATACAATATATCATAATGTAATATATAATAATAAAAAGTAATAAAAGTATATATGTAAATGTCCATATTCTTACGTTAGTTATTAAGACAAGAGAGATTTTGAATTCGACTTTAGCTTTGCATCGTTTTTTGTTTGTTTTTTTTTCTTTTTGTTTTAAACGTCTCTTCTCATTTTTTTATTTATATAATCCTTGGTTTCTTTATGCGCAATTCGACATGTGATTGATGGATCTATTACAGATGAGACGCGGTTTTTGTTTCTCGATCTTTAATTTACAGATGACGCGCGCACGCGATTATTACACGGATGAAGGAACTATTATTTTTTTTTTTTTCGTCACTTTTCCTTACATATAAACACGTTTTACATGTTTCGTTTGCGTTTTATATTTATATAATTCGCTCCGTTTCAACGGTGTATACACAGGTCATGCGTCCTGTCGATTGAGGATGAGGTGGCGGTTGGAATGTCTATCTATGTCAAGAAAGTGTTCTTCTCAAATGTACGTCTCGCCTCTTTATAAATGTGTCAGTTGTATATTTGTGTGTGTGTATGTGTGTGTTTATGCACACACATAAGTATATGTATATGTGTGATACATTTAGCTTCGACCGAGCGCGTATCTCTCAGCAATTTTCGGAAGAATCGCTACTGCAAAACTACAAAATTTACATATCGCAAGTGTATACATTGTATAAGACTATTTTAATATCGACGAAAACTAAAAAATCGTCGAACAGTGTTTTTATTGCCGTACATTAATCCGCCGCCATCCATCCTTAACGACAATCTAAATAAGAGCAATCATCGCTTCGAATAAGGAGGAGAAAAAATAGAGTGAAGAAAAGAAAAGAGAAATAGAGAAAGAGAGATAAAGAGATAGAAGGTACTTAGGACAATTTATCAATTTCTTTAATAAGTCGATATTTACAATACTTACAAAAAAAGCTACGTTCTTCCCTCTTATTACTTTTTTTTTATATCTTTTATGTATAGAGTCATGTGACCGATTAACTTATTATTTTTGTCGATTTCCACACGTTTAAACATCTATGTCAAAATATTATACATCGTGGACAAGAAAAATGATTAACAATAGAGAAGTTACTTATCAAAATTTATCTAAAACAAAAAAAAAATCCTGATGTTTAAAAAACTACTTGGCCGTAATCTATCATTTTTTTTACGAAAACGTGCGCGCGACCCTATTGAAAATGGCTGAGTGTGCGCTCTTTTTTTTCCAACCGTCAGTCTATAATACAAAATTGAAATGTGTGTGAGATGTAGTGTTTCGTGAATGTATATATATGTATAGTATCGGAACAGATAAAAGAGGAGAAAATGGCGCAAACGGATTTATAGATACACGTGTGTTGTGCACGAACTCCTGATGCTTGCTTTTTCAAGAACGCGTTATATCATTTATACAATGTACAATGTTCTTTACTTTTTACGTTCCAAGAACGGTAGCTGCAAATTATTTAAGGGGAGATGGGAGAAAAATCATTATTTCTGTCTCTATATATATGTATGTATATATATATTTATATATGTATAAATGATTTTTTTGTCCTAATGGAATTCCATGAAAAATGTTTATATCTTACAATTGGATCTCTTGGCGGAAAAATATGAAACTGGATGGGGGGAGGGGAGGAGTGTAACTTATCGGTTAGGATAGCAGCGTTTTTGTTTTAGAACGTAAATCATATTTAAATATTTAATATAATTAGTAGTTATATTTTATAATACATAATATTCACAGACTCCGTCAAAAGTAGGGGAAGAAAATCTCCCGTGAGAAATAAAATATTTATTGAATTTTCGGTCCTCGCGTATTTCGGATATTCATATCTATAATACACACTTGTTATTTATTTATATCACAATTTACAAAATTTAAGGATCTCAAGAGGGCTCAAGGGGCAGGGGATGTGGGACAGTGGGGAAAATGAGAAAGAAAGGGAGAAAGAGAATAGGAAAAGAAATGTTCCTTGTTGCGGAAGCGACGTTTCAAATAAACAAAGGAGAATTGCGCGAACACAAATTTTCTCACTTTGCTTAATTGTCTCGTCTTTGTCTTCTTTTCCCTCCGTATATATCACGTTAATCATTCTCAAAACTCAAAAACAGAAAACGAGAGAAAAAAAGAATTAGCATTTAGAAATCTTGAAAAGTTATCTTGATCTTGCGATATGTAAAAATAAAAATAAAAATAAAAAAAAAAAAAAAAGAAAAAACCGAACAACGAAATAATTGCTCTTTGTGTGAACGTTCCAACTAGTCTCAAAAGACAGATCGGTGGTCAAGGTCAGGTCCAGTTCAGGTCCAGGGTTTTCGGTCTCCCGATTTTCCTTTCTATGTCAAACCGCTCTATGCTACATTTAAACATAATCTATATAACTCCTAGACTTCTACACTTTTCACGTTTTACCTTACTCTCTCGTCTGCGAAACTTGGTCGATCGGGTGCATACCGCGCGTTAAAAATAATACTAAAGCAGCTGTGTGTAAAAGAGGAAGCGACGCGGTATACGCGAGATCTGGAACGTCACACATACAGGCGGCATGTGTGTTTTTTTTTTTTTTTTTTTTTNATATGTGTGTGTTACAACCCTCGTACAAGTCGATATAAATGCACATGCAGCACTAAGATCTAACCGTCTAAAAGTCTGTGTTTTTTTTTTTTTTTTTTTTAATCTTATCGCCTTCATAAAAGCTTGAATATGTCCGCCGAGTACAATCTCAACTAGCCGCGCTTTGTCTATTCACCATAGTGCTCCGCTTTAAATTTACTCTTTACCGAAAGATGGAGCTCTAAATTTTTAATTACAACGCATCTAATAATCCAGCGTAATTACCTTTCACGATAATCTAATAATCAAGCGATTTCCCTCTTTAAAAATATTACGAAAGTTTTATAGATTTTGCGCGACGCAAGACTGCCAAAACGCATACAGTGTGATATTAACGTTTAGCATAAATCTAAAAACTTGCCAATCGTGAGAAACATCATTTAGAAACCCGAAATTACAGCGTAATTTCACACTCAAATTTAAAGTGTAATTTTACACCCGTGTTACATATTGGTAATGCAATATCTCTACGTTCGTGTTACTCCTTCGCGCGGAGGTACTTGCACGATAGAAAAATGCATTGCAAACATATCTATCCTTGTGTCTACAGACTGTTCTTTCGTGTATAGTATATATATATTTTTCTTAGTTACCGTGTTCTCGTAATGTCCAGGGCCCCGAAGAAACCATATTATAAAAAATGTCGACTTAACGATTGCAAAAATTAACAAAAAGACACATATGTTAACAAGTCGTTCGTGAGAAACAATGTCCGAAGTTTCTCCACGCGCAAGTTACATTACTTCTTTGTTTTTGTTTGTTTGTTTTTTTTTTTCCATCTCCGAAAGCACAGGACAGAACGAGAAAAAAGAACGAAAAGAAAAAGAGGTTTATCGTAACTCGTTATTCAATCGATACAACAGATATCGCTAAGATAAAATAAAGAATGCGACATGTGTGGAGGTTGTGGTTTTGCTTGCCTCTTCTTTGTGTAATTGTTTTCTTCTCCACGACGAAGATAGAGGCTCCGTGCGCATGTTTATAAAACTTGCGGCGATGGTTGGCTAGACGTCGAGACTTGACTGGACGCTGCGGATGCGGGCGGCCCGATAGGACCGAGATCGCTGCCTCCGCTGTTTGTCGACGTACCTGATGCTGTTGCTGCCACTCCCATTGCCGAGGCAGTTTTCATGAAAAACTTCTCCAATTTGACGATAATGTGTTTGCCGTAAGTGTACTTGCGTAAACTTCCCAGATGCGGACGAATCTTATGCATCAGTACCTTGCGTTGCGCTGGTTCCGCAACATCAATCATTTTCTGTACGACGTAGTTGGCATACTGATCCTTCATCATAACGTTCAACGCACTGAAAAAAACAAAATAAATATATATCATTTTTTACTTCAATAACACTGAATCACAATTCTTGTTAACGTATTGCGCGTTAAATTGCACTCACTTGTCGTTGAAGCCGCAGACTTCTTCAATCAATACAGCACGTTCTTGTCTTGTAGCATGAGTCACGCATTTTTCAACCACATTACTCGCAAATTTATGCTGGGAGAGAACAAGCACCTTGCCTCTAACACTGCTGATCAATTGTGCTTTATCTTCCGGCTTTCCATGCTCTGCAAAAGTAATTTTATTTATTTATTTTATTTATTTTTAATCTTTAAATGTTATTATACTCACATTTATGACAACAAAGCAAAAGTAAGAATAACGAAACTGTTTACCTAACACATGTTGTATGACGTAATTGCCATATTGATCCTGAATCAGTTGGTCAGTAGCGGCGTGTAACTCTTGCAGAATTCCTTGAGTTTGTTCGGGAGTGCAGTGTTCGAGAATACGCTGTATAACTCGACAACCATACGGATGAGTACTTAGAGAATAAACTTGTCCTGCGAATGCCCCTATTACAAATTGCAATGCTCGGGGTTCTACGCACTCAATACATTTCTGAACGACGTGATTTCCATTTTGATCTTTTACGCATTTCAACACGTGCCCATCTAGCTCCCGCACGATTTCCTGTTGTTGTTCCGGTCCGATTGATTCAAGTGCTTTTTGTATTACTCTGCAACCGTACATCTGCAATGCTAACGGCAGGACATGTCCGCGAACCTAATTTAAACAAAAAAAATCAAATAAATATTTGATAAAACATAATTTTAATTAATGTAATTGTTTAATAAATCAGATTGTTTCAAGTGTAATCACATTGAATCAGATGACACGCAAATGTCTCGTCATGTGTAAAAATTATAACAAAAATGGCTGTGAAGTAGATGTAATTTTAGCCTGACTTATAATTTCCTCAAATTAATTTTTCGTTATTATAATGAGGTATATTTACCTTTTGAGCAAGTGTCGATTTTTGTTCGGGTGTCCCATACTCAAAGAACTTTTGTATGACGTAATTTCCAAACACGTCTGTCATGAGAGAATAAGCAGAAGCAAGAATTTCTTGAAACACGAGCTGTTTCTCGCTAGCCGAAGCTCGTTCCAATTTCTGCTGAATGAATCGTGAGCCATGCTGATCTTGACTAAATTCAACTATGTGATTAGTCAAATCACGAAGTGTAAGACTTGGAAATCTGAAACCAACACGTATAATTTATTAAATTATTCAGCTATATCACGTTGTGATAAAGATTTTAATTAATGACATCTAAAATAGAATCTCTATCACGGTGAGATTGTGTAGTGTATATATGATTTTTTTAATATACAACGTATAATATTGAAATTATTTACTTTTACGTTTTAAACTGTGATAAAAATTCTTCTCTTCCTTTTATCCAATATAGAAATAAAGAGTTTTACGTATTTCAATTACCTGTTATTTCGGAAATCTTCTAATAAACGAGATCTTCCTCCAGCATTCTTGTCGTTGATATTAGTGGCGCCACCACGGCCAGGTTTTCCTACGAGATTGGGAAACAGAGAGCTACTAGAACCAAACACTCCATTTGCTGTAAGACCAGGGACTGCACTTGCACGGAATTTAGCTTCGGCACCGGGAGCCGCTGACACACGACTAGCTCCTCCGACAAGACCACTCAGGGATCCTCCTAAAGTTGGTGGTGGTGTTAAAGACAATCCCAGAGGACTTGGTGACGCAGTGACTGTACCTGCATAACCAATTGAAGACACTTTGTTAAGTATCGTAGATCTTATTTCTTTGTAATATATTCAAGAGTAGCTTTCCACTTTCAATATAAGTTTATTTTAAACAACAGGTTGTGTCTCTCACTTAATATGCCAAATTCTTTGCTCAAGTTTGGAGTCAATTTTTTCTTGACAAAAATAAACGACAGCAATTATTTGCAGCAATTTTTTACAATTGTATAAATATTACATATATTATTATAAATAAACTTCTTCAATTTTTGAATATAGTTACGGCTGCCTTTTTGCACTTGTATTAATACACAAAATTAAATTTTCTTTAAACTTTAAACTTGTAAAACTGTGACTTCAAGTAATTCACTAAAATACTAAAAAAATCATTGATATCTAAACATATTCATCAAGTAAAAATCGACTTCAAAAAATGTCCTCAAATTGTACGAAAACAAGATATCTAAGTATTTGTACTTAGATACACTCGATCTATACCTGTACCTGTATCTTTATTCAAGTACTCTTTGGAAGAAGTACTTGTATCTGTAGTATCTGTTAGATACAATCTGTCCCAACCTGTATCTAGGTACGTATTGTCCCAAATTCCTGTATCTAGAGAATAGAGATCTTATCTCACTGATTAGGAAACAATGCACTGTACATTTGGTTTTTGTTTGTTTTTCTTAATAGAAGCAATGTACAATGTATAAAGGCTACATCTAGTCCCATAGTGTGTTAACGTTAAAAATCGTTTTACGATTTACATACGGCACATCTAGTCTTTTTTTTTTTTTTAAACCAGTCGTCCTTGCAGCCGCTTATTCATTAGGACGCAATATAGTTTATACATATGTAAGATTTAATTTAAAGAAAAAAAATGTAGGCGTTATATTCCTGTATATATAGCTAGAGTTATGTATAGAAAAGCATGTGTACAAATGAAGTACAATTATATTATAGACAAAAATATACAACATAGATAATCAAGCGTCTATGGCGATTCCGAGTTGGCCGTGTATAAGCATGTAAAACGGTATCCTTCGAATTCTCAAAAATGTGTGTTTTATTGCAAGCGAACTTACGAAAAGAGAACAAAAAAGCCGGTATCATTCTCGACACGAAAGTATGACGAGAGATAAAGTTACTTGGATTTTTGTCTTCGTTGTTTTTCTCCGTATGATGTATCCGTGCAATGAGAACATACCGTTAGATGCCCTACACACTGTACATCGGAATACACACACAACCAAACGATTCTTACCGAGGGCGCCGTAACTCTGAGGCCACTTTGCCCGGCTATATTCCAAGCTTGGGCTGAAGGCTGAAGTATTTCTATCAAAGGAATCTCGTCTGCCAGTTGAAGATGCACCGAGTCCTAAACCTGCACACAAGACGGACACCGTCATCTTTAACACGAGTTGCTCGAGAGCAACCACAAATCGAAACCTGTATTAACTTAGCGCCATCACCGTTGCAAAAATCAAGTTCAGTTATCCAGTATCGCATAATTAGGTGCTAATTACTTTGTCACTTTTTTTATTATTCCTTGTGTCTCAAAATTTATTGCTCCGTCAGTTTAGAGGTTTTCTAAATTTGTTTTCTAAGCTAAGAGAATGCATAATAGCTCAACGACATAACTCATTTCTACTAACGTTGACATCAATTTCTCGCGAATGTGGTAAAGCAATAAATTCAAGACAGTAAATTAGCATTTGATTGTACGACAACAAATATTTACCTCGATTTTTCGATAGTGAGATGCTATATTAATATCGACAGGTGATATATCAAACATGACAATAAATGCTACGAGAGACGTGACGATACCGATTAGATCACAATAATAAACAAATCGACACAAACGCTCTACTGGAAAAGACACGTCACTGTGAGAAGGATGACTATGTTCAACACAAGAATACAAATTAATTAGATTGTGTAAAAAGCATGCAAATAGCTTACATTGTTTTTCTGTACATGAAAAATTCTTCGTACACACCACCAATATACACAGTCGAAAGGAAAATTCTCTCAGTGTTCTCAGGAAAAAACGCTTGAGAGTTTAAAAGAACATCTTAAGAAACGAATATCTCACGTTTCACGATAGCAAAACAGCGTTTTTGCCATTGCTGAGAGAATTTTCTTCAAACGAGATCGGTGACGACCGAGGAGGATCAAGCGCGTTCACGATAATATACCTGTGTTCTGTAGTTGGGCAGGCGAGCCCAGTGCTCCGAGCGGGGAGCCGCCGTATCCTAGTGCCGCTAAACCCGCGGCAAGTCCCGATCCTTGCTGCTGCGCCTGTTGCACTGCAACTGCTTGAGCTTGCGCGACCACTGCCGCTGCGCTGCACGCTGCCAGACCTGCACCAAAAGCCCGCAACCCATACGCGCTCTCTTAGTCGTCGTAAGTGTGATTAGCGTATGTTACCGGACCTTACACCGTCTATAGAGAAGCCTAGCGGTAGTACACATCACGCACGCACATTCGCACTTATGTTCCTTTATTTCTTTCTCTTTTCTTTGTTTTTTTTTAGTCACAATGTTATCGTGCCGGTGTGGCGTGTTTTTTTTCTTTTTTTTTTTTACGCGTATTTACAGGAAACAGACAAATTGACAAGTTTGACTGTAGTAAACAGTAGAGCGATCGTTAACAATAAAACGTTAACAATAACACGTTCTATCATATAAACTATCATAATCAGACGTTCGTAAAATATAAGTCATGCATTTACACACGTAATACACGACGACGGGGAAAGGGGAAGAAAGATCTTTACAAGATGTTACACACATAACTTTACAAGGCTTCTTACAAATATATGTTTATACAGAGAAAACGATGGCAGTGTGCTAGATTCTATAGATTGCCGATAGACGTACCGAGACATTCGCCGGGTGTAGCGTTGCTGTGTGATGTCGGAGTCGGTTGAGAATATAGGTTCGGCGGCGGCGGAGCCGGTGGACCCGGTGGAGGTTGAGACGGAGCTCTGTTAACAAGAACCGGCGCGGGACTGACCAATCTCATTGGGGTCGCTGCTGAACTCAAACCGCGCACTCCACCCATGACAATCGAGCCGTTCTGATCATAATAAGCTGGTATAACTTGATACTGTCCCTGAACCTAAGGAAAACAAATTAATTCATTAAAATATCAATATATATATATATAAATTTATATACAAAACATACAAATATCTAACTCTTTTGACTATTTAACAGCTGATTTTTGACAACTTAAATTTTTGAACAAGATAGCGCGCTAGTGTTGTACATGTATTTTTGTTCGTAATAAAGTTTGTATTCTCATCTATGAAATAATATGAGTGATATTAAAAAAAAAAAAAAAAAAAAAATTAGCATGCACCTGATTATAATAAAGCTGACTGTAAGACAAATATAAATCTCTTGTATAATTTGTGTCACAATTGTTTGTGATAAAAGGAGACATTGTAGTGATTGTTGAGTCATCAGGAAACTGTATAGAAAAATCGGGTGTCTGTAACAAGTTCAATCAAAGATTTGATTTTATACATTTGCGAATAAAAAGAACGGCTGCAGACATTTGAAACATTTAATCGTGAGAGTACGTTAATGTTTGTCTAAAATTACTAAAAAAAAACTCTGTTTATATCAGTTTCGTGTGTCTGTAACACTATGTAAATACAATATATATATAACTAGTCGTGTACACATTTAATTTTATAGGTCAAGAATATATATATCACGAATGTCGCCGCACTCTCATCTTTTTTGTCTACTTGTTACTGTAGCGAAATATTCAGCTAGATTGAAGAGAACAATGTGGCAACTTCTAATTGGCACAATGAGCTCCCCTCGTATACGTGAACTACGGGACCAAGTATCATCGGTTGCTCGCAGCACAGACGAGCGAGAAAATAGCCTTTACAAAATTAGAAACATATGTAATTTATACTACGCGCTAATTCGTAAGCTTTTTGTGTACGCTGTCGTCACAACAACAAAATTTAATTCTTTTATTTAAAGATTTAATATTGCAACTTTTAATGAAAATAATTTATAAGAAAAATAATTTTCACAAGATATATAAAATAAAAATGTTTAAAACACAGCGAAGAAAAGCGAATCTCCTTCTTTCTACGTACACATTTCTCCGTGTTTTATAAAATATAAAACTGTAAAAAAAACTTAATCCTAATTGTTTTATTTTTAACATAAATTTTTGTGTAATTACTTCTAGCAGTGGCCAGCTCACCGTCTGTGCCAGATTGTTCGCGGTGTCCTGCGCGGCGGCAGCCGCTGCTGCTGCTGAAGAGGGTGTAAGCGGTCGTCGAGGTGGTGGTGGTGCGGCTGCTTGTGGCGGAGCTTGCGGCAACAATCCAGCCGGATAGACCCAGGGTACAGATCCGACCCCATAGTACTGCGGGACCACTGGAGGTGGTGCGCCAGCTATTAACGCTCCTACGTAAGGTTCCTGACCGCTGATAACGGTGTACGGTGCCGTGGGGAAGTTTTGTTGCTGCTGCTGCTGCTGTTGCTGCTGCTGCGCTTGAGACGCAGCGAGATACTGCTGTTGATGTTGCTGCTGATGTTGCTGCAGCAATATTTGTTGCGGTGTTCCCTGAGTTTGACTGCGAAACAGTTGCTGAAAACAAAAAAAACCAACAGACACATGAGTGACGACGCAAAGATTCTTGGTTAGTGATGTAAAATGTTACGTAACAAAATTAGTTCGCTCTTTTATTATTATCACAATGTTTGGTCTTTATATTGTAGTATTTAAATTATACATATTGTTGTTATACATATTGTTACACTGTTATACTTAAATAAGTAACAAACATTTGCGTCCTGGAACATTATTATAATTGCGTATTACAGAGAAATCTTATTACCGCGTGAAACGCGTCGGATAAAATAGCCTTTCGTCTTCGAGGTTTGATGACGACATCGTGTTACGGGAATATAATCATGCGACTCGAGTTTCAGCACAAGGATCAAGGCCGACGAGCTGACACGATGCCGACGCCTAGAAGCGGCGCAAAAGACAACGCGATGTTTAAAGCCAAGGAAAAGACGACCGAGGTCTCTTCCTCCGGTTGGTCTGGGTCGACGACCCCCCGCGGACGTTCACCGACATGCGTTCGCCTCTTCACCGGACCGGTGAGATCGCTGTGGACTTTTTAATTGACCGACAAACCTGCTGTGATTCGGTGCGACGCGACGTAAAATAAAAACCGGAATCAAGCACGAGAAATAATCGAAAATTAATGTATTGTTAAAAAAAAAAGAAAAAAAAAAAGAAAAAAAATGAAATAAAACTCTCGTATTAATTTATTCGATATATGTAAAACTCATTTCTTATTTGCTTTTTCCTATTCATCCTTAACCGAGTATTCATTCCCTTTCCCGATGACAGTCTCGAGAGGTTTCCCGCGTGAAAAAAACTCGTTGCGTGGACGAGAACCGAGCGTTTGTCCATCAAATTAAATCTTCGTAATTATGTCACTTTTCAAATTAACAAAACAAAAAAATTTCAGTTCAGTTATTTTACCATATCATAGTCGAGACTATTAAAGTAATGAATATAATTTTCAAATGCAACTTTTGCGATGTTATCTTGTCTCGCTCGGCTAACATGAGATAGCGTGTAGACGTATTAAAAGCGAAACGATCGATAAATTTAATAACATTATCTAACCGAGTTTCCTCGGCCTTCAAACTTTGTAAAAGTCCAAAAATAAATAGAAGCGCTTCGACCGTACGCGGATGAGTTTCTTACACGAAGCGTAGAAAACTTAAAACCATTCACGACACGCTCCAGCCCTAAGAGGCAACGATGCGTTTCGGGTATTAACCTCTTCCGGAAACAGCTCGAGCTTGAGCCAAGGCCATAGTTACACTTGATTGTTGGTCTACCGCGAACACGAAAGTCACGACAAAATAACTTTATTTTCTGCTGACGGATATTAATTGACAGTTAATTTTTTTTTTTTAAATCTCGTTATATGATACACACACACACCTTATTATACTGATATACATCTTATTATTCTCATAATTAAATTGACGTTTTGTATAATATTTCCTTCCTCCCCCCTCTCCCTCCCCCCTTCTCTGCGCATCTACGCGTTCCATATTCGTATTAACGCGCTCTAATGAAGTAACTGTGGAAAAAAAAAAAATCATCTTCAGAAAAATGCGGTATAATAAGGAACATTACGTAGCAAGATGAGCACGAGCCTGTGCAGATGCGAACGGCTCATTAAGGTCAGATATCGTACGCGAACGTTTTTTTTTTCTCCGAACGCTGAACCGTTAATCAAAGAAGCCTCGTCATCGATTGAGACTACACGAACTAGTATGGCGCCGAAGGGACGATCATTAAAACAGTAATAGTCTATTTCAATAGTCTATTCCCCGGCGAGTCTGTGTTTATCCCATCTCTTTATTTATTTAATAGAATTGTTATCCTATCGTTCGGGACGAACGATGCACTCCGCTTTCAACACCGCTGCGGAGTTGATTATAATAATCAAGTCGTTTTCCTTCGCGTTATTTCCACCTTGTCTCTCTGATCACAATAATAAATTATTTTTATTTTAACAACAATTAACATTTTTTACTTTTCTGACGCGAGACTTTTTTTTTAAAGCGAGATATTAAATGGTGCTATAAAAATTTACTCAAACGATTTTTCCCTTCATTGACACTCTCTCGGAAAAACTCGCGAAATTTTTTATTGCGACTAAAACAAATGGAGGAAATTACGGCAACTTCGCGTAGAAACGGAGCAGAGTCCGTCGAAGTGTTAAAAAAAAAAAAGAATAAAAACTGGGTGAAGCACGTCAAAAGGTGGAGCGCAGCCGATTTCGGACGGGGAGGGCAAACAATGGCGTGGTGCATTGTCGTGAGTGAGAAAGGGGATGAGGTACATTCCTGGAAATGTGAGTCACTGCTGAATATGTAAGGCTTCTCTGTCGACGACGATCTGCGAACTGATCAACAATATGGAACCTTTATTCCTTTGCCGTAAAAATATCTGCTGCGATTTCTGGCCCATTTTTATTTTCGAGAATGCTTTGACAAAGTTGAAAATCCTAATTATATTTCCTCCGAAGACTTTCTCTTTATCTTAACTTCATATAAAATTTCTTTACAAGATAAAAGGCCCAATTGCCGCAACCCTAAGCTATTTCATTTAAAATACTATAAAAACAAAAAACTTTTTTTCATATTGTATGTTACATATGCAATGTAACCGCTCCCCTCTCTCCTTTAAATTAGAGATGCCACTATTAGGTGACAATAATAGAGCTCTCATATCGTTCTTTTTTAATTATTGAATTTATAAGTAAAAATAGAGATTTTTGAGAGACATTATTTTTTGTTTTTTATTTAAATAAAATATTTTATTTAAATATTCAACGAGCTTTAAACATAAATTTGTTTTTCTTATATTAGAGACATTGAATAATAACAAATAGGAAGAAAAACATATGTGTTTGATAAATTAATAATAAAAACAATACAATGACGCCAGAGTTCATCGTTCAGGTGACAGTAATCTTTCACCTTATATGAGGTTCTTCTATGAGTAGTGTAAAAACATATCCGCGAATTGACGTACCGATGTGAATAACACATAAAACGATATTCAATGCAAAGTCTTCGCCGACTTAACACATCGAAAATGCGCATCATTAATTTTAATGGACGAGGAGAAGACTTGCCGCGAAGAACTTTCCAAGCGGTGGGAGGAATTGTGATTTATTCTGCAGTGAAGAACGGAATCAATTACAATATATATATATACATATATATATACATAAATTCCATTTGTTTCCCTGGCAACATATCATTCTGTAAGAGTAATGAATAGACTCTGCAGACTTTTTCCTACACTTGTCCGGATACACTTTCACTGATCAGCGATAGCCTACTTGTTGTCTTTGTTGAATTGCTATTTGCACTCTTCTTCAGCGAGCGCAAGGAATCGCATTATGTCGAACACGTGTCAGTGCGTTTCCGCAATTTTTTTTTTTTTTCTCTTCTCACGGGGAACAGAGACATCTCTCCTCCCGCGCTTTCATTCGTTTCAGTTGAATTTCATTCCGCACCAACACAAGACGTATGAAAGCGAGGAGTTTTCCGACTGGCAAAAACAATCACAACAGATCGAATAAATCTGACTTTTCAGATCGCAAACAAAGTGGAATGGCCAATGATATAAGAAAGATTAAGAGAGATATTCCGTTGTGCTGAATTCCTCACGGGTCAGGCGCACGGAAACGAGTTTGAGAGTGATGGAAGTTCGACGACCCTCTCTCTCCTTTCTGCGCGCCTTCGTTTGCTTTTCATAACCATGTGCTTTAATATTTATCGCCGGTTCATCTGTCGTCGCACGTATGTGTATATATATATATATATATATATCGGGAACGATTCGATCGCGGTCTACTATCGATTCGTCGTTTTTTTTTGTTCGATGATCGACTTCCGTTAACGATTTCGTCTGTCTCCATGTCAGAAATTTTATATATTTACTACAAAGCGATAAATCTTTATTCTAAATTTAAAGCAAAAAGACGTATTTTTCTGTTTACAGAATACATTAATCCTTTCATTTTTTTTCTTTTACCAGTAAGTATGTAAAACGCTTTATAACGATCAATTTTTTTATCAAGTTTATTTACGTGGAACATATTCGTCATTAAACGTTCTTTATTTTTTTTTTTATCGACTGCAGTGTGCATTAGCATGAGCTAATGCAATAATAAAAACGCATAAAAACCTGTTTACAAACGGTTTGTATACATTATGTAAGTTTATATGTACGTATGTGTATGTATATATATATATACTATATATGTAAAATTGACCGCGTGTAATCCGATTCACGAAAAGCAGGTCATCAATAACAATACATAATGCATGTCATTGATCTCGCAGCCTTAATATATGCATTTATCGTCGCATCTTATCGCGCCGCATTGTCACGGAAATCGTGAAAATTAGTAAATAAAATAATAACGCGGATGTGTTTTTCGCGTACAATTGAGATCGCGGCATGCCTCCTGAACCGTAAAACAACGAACGAAACACAATTAAGTTAGTAGTGAACTACTTTCGTTAGCGCGAGCCACTAGAAACACTTCTGTATCATTGTAAAATTATTGAAGTTATTTTTTACGCTAATCTTGTTTTATTTTTTTTTTTTTATCGTAGTATCGAACATTTGAAGATATCTTTACTTGATCCTGAAAGTCGCGTAAAAAGTGATAATGCTCCGCGAAGACATGGCGCGTCTCCAAAACAAATTTATGACGATCTCGTTGTGAATTAAAATTTTATTCTCTTCGTCACCGCTCTAATGTGCGGACGGCTTCACGTTAAAATATCGATACGTCGCACGGTTGTAATATATACAACGAAATCCGGGCTCGGTTCTATAATTCAATGTTATGAAAGTTTCGTCCACTAGTTCGCGGGTATTACTCGCTTTTGCAGTTGCATAAACGCTTCACCGCCATTCCGCACCGAAAACTCAGGGTCTCGGTGCACCGTCTGCGTGTCTGAAAGCGAACGAGCGAGCTTGTAACGGAAGAACAGTTTGGGGACGATTTAATTTGTTCGTTCATAGAA